CAAGGAAGCAAAGGAAACACTGAGCTACCAGAAAGCAAAAGATAAAATGGCTATAAGAGACCTCGTATTTCAATAATCACCCTAAATGTAAATGGATTGGACTCACCAATAAAAAGGCACAGAGTTGCAGAATGGATCAAAAAACAAAACCCAACCATATGCTGCCTCCAGGAGATACATCTCAGCTCCAAAGACAAATATAGACTCAAAGTCAAAGGATAGAAAATGATATTTCAAGCAAATGGCATTCAGAGAAAAGCGGGAGTAGCAATACTAATATCAGATGAAATATACATTGGAATAAAAAAGGTAAAGAAAGATACTGAAGGACACTTCATAATGAGAAAGGAAATCATGCACCAAGAAGACATAACATTTATTAATATTTATGCTCTCAATCAGGGAGCCCTGAAATATGTAAAGCATTTACTAACAGAACTAAAGAGAGGAACAGACCAAAACACTATCATAGTAGTGGACCTAAATACCCCACTGTTGTATATGGACAGATCATCCAAACAGAAAATCAGTAAGGAAATAACATCCTTAAATGACACATCAGACCAACTGGATATAATTGACATTTACAGAGCCTTTCATACCAAAATAACTGCTCCTACATACTTCTTTAGTGCACATGGAACATTCTCAAGTATTGACCATGTACTGGGACACAGAGATAGTTTCGGCAAATATAAGAGGGTTAAAATCAGACCGTTCATAATCTCTGATCATAATGCTTTGAAGCTAGAGATCAACTGTAAACCACATGGAGATTAAACAACATACTGCTGAAGAATAACTAGTTCAGAGAAAATGAAAAGAGAGATCAAGAGATACATAGAAATGAATAATAAAGATACTACAACATATCAAAACTTTTGGGAAATGGGAAAAGTGATCATAAGAGGAAAGTTCATATCATTACAGGCCTATCACCAAAAACAAGAATGAGTCCAAATAAACAACCTAATGCTTCATCTTAAAAAACTAGAAAAGGAAGAACAGATGAGGCCTAAAGCCAGCAGAAGGAAAGAAATCATCAAAATTAGAGCAGAAATAAATGAAATTGAAAACAAAAAACAATAGAAAAAATAAATACAAGGAGCTGGTTCTTAGAGAAGGTTAATAAAATTGACAAACACCTGGCTAGACTCACTAAAGAAAAAACAGAAAGGACACAAATAAACAGAATCAGGAATGAAAGGGAGAAATTATGGCTGAAATCATAGAAATACAAAGGATCATGAAAGAATACTATGAAAAACTATATAATAACAAATTTAATAATCTAGAAGAAATAGGCCAGTACTTAGAAAAGTACAATCTTCCAAGACTGAATTAAGAAAATCTGGAAACTCTAAACAGACCAATCAGCAGTATGGAAATGGAAACAATCATCAAAAACCTACCAAAAAGTCCAAGTCCAGGACTAGATGGCTTTACCAGTGAATTCTACCAAATATTCAAAGATTTAATACCTATTCTCCTCAAACTCTTCCAAAAAATCGAAGAGGAGGCAATACTTTCCAACTCATTTTATGAGACCGATAATACTCTGATACCAAAACCTAGTAAAAACACACAAAAAGAAAACTACAGACCAATATCTCTCATGAACACAGATGCAGAAATCCTAAATAAGATACTAGTGAACCAAATACAGCAAAATATTAAAAAGATTATACACCACGATCAAGTGGGCTTCATTCCAGAGGCACAGGGATGGTTCAATATATGCAAATTGATTAATGTGATAGAACACATAAAAAAATTAAAGAATAAGAATCATATGATCATATCCATAGATGCAGAAAAAGCCTTCGACACAATACAGCATCCTTTTATGATCAAAATACTTAACAAAATCAGTATAGAAGGAAAGTACCTTAAAATAATAAAGACCATAAATGACAAACTCTCAGCCAACATTATATTTAATGATGAAAAACTAAAAACCTTCCCTCTAAGATCAGGAACAAGGCAAGGCTGTCCACTATTCCCACTGTTATTCAATATAACATTGGAGGTCCTAGCAAGTGTAATCAGGCAAGAGAAAGATATAAAAGGCATCCAAATAGGAAATGAAGAAGTCAAACTGTCACTATTTGTGGATGACATGATTAAAGCAATAGAACCAAAAATCATCAGATTTGTATGGAAGCACAAA